AGCAGGAGTGGGTGGCTGATGGAAACTTCCTAAACTTAGTTTGATATCCAAAAGCTTATTTTCCAAAACATAAAGGCTTCAGAGAAAGCTAACATGCCTAGCTCCTGCTGTATGATTTTTGAACACTGTTCCAAAACTGTGTAGAAGCAAATTATCTTGCCAATAGCTTGTCCTTGTTGAGCTTTTGTAGAACTCATCTATTCACACTTATAAATCCGCAACTCAGGGAGGGTATTGACAGACCTCTGAAAAAAAGCTTCGCAAGCTGGTGGTGCCTTGCAGAGAGGATAGGCTTGTAAATCATGACTAACATATCTTGTGGTTAAAGTTCTTCATATTTCCTGGCTGTGAAATACATGATGTTTACTCACAGTAAATTTATTCAGAAAACAATATATAAAATATACAATCTTTCCCTTTCATACTTTTCCTTTTCCTTATTGCCCTCCTGTAACTGTAATTTTACTTCAAACTGTGACTTGCTTTCCAAAGTATAAGCAACAAATCTCACAAGAAACAGATTTCAGCCCTTCACAATAATGGTACCTTTTTGCTTTTGCAAAGAAAGTTCCCTTATTTCACTTGACTTGTTACTCAATGGTTAAATAGTTAGCTTTGAATCTTTCATCAAATTTAAGCTGTTTTAATTCAAGTACAGGCAGAATGGAAGTCCTAGTTCATGAAGAATTTTATCCTTTGTCAAAATCTTAATCTAGTTTAGCTCCAGGGTAGAATCCCAGAATGATAAAATTTCCACAAGCAAAATTCATACTGACATTTGTTTCAGTTGTTGGAAACAATAATCTTTGGCAACATGGGAAAGATTTATAATCTGGATTATTTTTTTTTTTTAAATCTTGTGTTGTATTGTATAACAAAGAATAAATTAGAAATGAAAAATTGAAATGTTTAATTCTGAAAGTACTGAAATGGAACAGCAGGAGAGTCAGGGCCTGTCTTCATTGTGTGAGATTTCAATGAACTTATGCCACAAAGCATTTTGATATATTGAGAAATATTTCTAGGCCCTGATGGAAGTCTTGTAGATTTGTTTGGACTGATTAATTCTGTTTAATATTTTCTAACTTTCATTTGGATAATGAAGTTAATAAACTAACCTGATTTTGAGGAAGAGAATCCAACATTCAACTTAGTCATTTTTGCATGGATAGTTTATAGGAATAAGTTTATGTATTTAAAAATAAATAATTCTGATTACTTTGAATGCTTTCCAAGGAATAAAAGTCCCACCTTGTTCCCAAATAAATTAATGGTTAACTGCACTTGAGTGAAAGAGTAGATCTTTCATCAGATTTAATTGATAACTGTAACTGTTTCATCTTCTCCCCTTACAGGACATAGTTTGTCATGTCAAATGTTATCTTTCTTTGCAGGGAAAATATTTGATCACGTAGGGTCCAATTGATTTCTGATTTAAGTCAGGAAGGAATTACAAAAGGCATTACACTGGTGAAGGTATTACTGTTGCTATTAGTAGCAACAGAAGTAGTTTAGCACAAATAACAGCAGATGCCCCAGTAAAGCCTTGTCTAAACTGTGTCATTAGCTCCTCGCACCCATCCCACAGTGCCCAAGACAACCCAGGTTGTGGTTGCTGTGAGGTGACAGAACTCAGCCTGTGGCTGAGCGAAGTCCTCCTGCATGGCCGCGGCTGCAGGCAGGGCTCCCCTGCCCTCCGCTGTAATCCCCTCATCAGCCTAATGCTGCTTGCTGGTACTTTTATCAGCTTCTGTAGCATCAGCTGCTGCCCTGGCAAGCAGTGACCTAGAAAGTGTTAATCCTGTTTGCGTTTTCAAGGTCAAAGAGGAACCTCCATCCACTTTGTTTTACAATGGAAAGAAGACCAAGTAACTAGTGGATTAGAAAGAAAATGCAGTTTCAGTCAGTATATTAGTGATCTGTAACTAGTTCTGATAATCTTAGTAGTTCCTATGTGAAAAACAGATCCTGAATTCTTTTGTAGCAATGTCTTTCCCTTGTGTGTTTCAGTGAAAGAGACCCAAACAAGCCTGAAACTGACATTTAAAATCTGAATTTAGACCAGTTAGGAGAATAAGAAATTTCTATTGAGAAAACATACAGAAATTTAAAGCTTCTATGTCCTTCTGTAACACCAGAAGATTTTTTTACATGAAAAACTTTAAACCAAAAATGTCCAGGTGTTTGAGACAGTGAAAATACTATAATTTCTATTTTTCATTCTGAGCAGAAAATGTTGAAGAACCCCCCCCCACACACACACACACACTTTCAAGAAGAAAAAACTGAAAGCAAACTTTAGCCCTGTTTTTTTTTCCTGTCTTTGAAGCAGCCTTTAAATATTATGCAGTAACTACTAAAACCACTTGACCGGGATACTGAGTACTATAAATATGTGTAGCATAGAACTTTACATGTTGCTTCATGAGAAAAGAGACTATGCTTTTTTTTTTTTTTTCTTTTTTTTTTAGCTTTTGGCTACTTAATTCCTCAAGTTCCACATTAGTAAAGGTAAGTTTGCTGTCTTAATCTTTGGACATGAGAAGAAAGATACAATGCACAGGAAACAGGAATTGATAAAATTAAACTGCTGTCAGATGTTGCAGAATCATCAGAAATAACTATCTTATCAACAAATGTAGTCCTATCATTTTTCTACAGTAAAGCAGTTTCATATAAGATAAACAGCTTTCAGTCACTGTTGTCTATGATATGTCCAGAAGAGTCCAAGATCTGCATCATTTTGATATATATATTCTAATACTGCTTTAGATGGTAGGATTATATTCAGACATTTGAAAAAAATTGCCTTTAGCCTTGGTAATAGATGTGTGATGCATATTTATCTTCCTGGCTACTTAGATCTTTGAAATGAATATTTGTTCTTGGGTGGCATAGATGTGCATGACACATGCAGGGATAGGTCTCTTTTCTTCAACAGGTCTTTCCCCATTCTTGATGAGTTAAAGTCCTGATTAGGAAGGCAGTTTAACCATAGGTTTAAAGCAGTTCAGCTCAAGAATGTCCTGAGGTCACACTGGCTCCCACACAGTTATGTCAGTTTAAACCGGTTTAAAACTCCTCTAAGCAGGAGGGATAGATTTTGTCTTAGAAATAAAAGAAGGTCACCCAGCAGCAAGCCATACTTTGTGAGTATGGCCTCTGAGAGTTTGCCTTCATGAGTTTTTGCCCAGAAGGAGAACTGGGCTAGGAGCGTGATGCTTTAGGCTGAATCACTTGCATGCCTTCCTGGAAGGTGTAGCGGTGACATACTGAGCAGTGCAATACAATAACTAAATAGAACAAAGTGCATCTTCAAGGCTGATGTTAGACCTCCTAGGTACATTTGGAGGCCATGTATCAACCTGTAGAGACTGTACCAGTTAGACCACCCAAGTGCTAAAATGGACTGAAAACTCAAAAAACATTAAGCTCGGAAAGGATCATTTTGAAGCAGGAAATGGGGATACTTCTTGAAAAGAAGCGGAGAAACCTCAAGTGGGTCTGTATACACATGCAACACTTTGGGGACTCAAGTAAACCTTTTGTGCATATTTACAGACATGCAATTTAAAAAATTGCACTCACTGAAGTCAGTGGCATAGCTCTTCTGGGAGGGACAGTGAACTGATGTGAGAGGAGAATCTATGGTGAAAACAGAAATAAGAAGCTTCTTCTTTCTCTAAAATCTGGAAGCAAACAGATGTGACTGAAAAAAGGATGAAAAATACTAACACACATGCAAGGATGAACTTCCTGGGGAAATTTGGAAATGTTATGTCCAGGTCAATGAGTGATACCACAGTACAGAAGGGGTGTTTGTCTTTGAGCACTTTTTGACCTTGACATGATATTGTGCAATCCCACATGCTTAAAGGGGCTGCCCAGTGTAAAATGGTAATCTTGATGCTAGGTCGTCACGGAAGGAATGCAACTAAGAACTGAAAAGTCATGTCCTCAGCTATCTACTATCTTGCTGTCCCGGTACAATAAATAAGGAACAAACCTTATCTGGTACTGGCAGGGGGATTTAGATTATGCTCTGGCACTTAAATATGAAAAATAAGCTGCATTTGGGGAAATAAGCATAAAATATTATCTCCCAAATTGCACATATGCACCTTTTTTTTTTTTTTTTTTTTTTTTTTTTTTTTATAAAATGAACTTGATGCACAGATCCGATATCCAATGAAGTCTAATTTTTCTTAACTCATAATAGCTTCAGACTAATATAACCCAATGGACTTCAGGAACAAACCTCTTGACTTCCATCATCTCCGTGCAAAGAGAATCAAGGCTATTTTGCACACACAAAAACGTGTGTCTTGGGAAGCAGTCAAGAAAAAGGTTCCAAACTTCTTTTATTACTTTATTCATTAAACATCCAGCAACTGTCTCACTTCAAAAATAGCATCCTGCAAAAGCACAGGCATCCATCTTCTGTCTAGAAGCCATCTGGGAGAAGAATAGAAAGCTATTAAGAAATACTTTATGAAAAAGAGCTTTTTTTTTTTTTTCCTCCCCAGCCATGAATTCATGGAAACCGATAATTTTGTCCCAAATATATAGGTCTGATCAACTTATAGTAAATCTAAAAGGAGATCTAGGTAGGGGGAGAAGGTCATGAGCTGCTTACAAGATCTTGCCCGTCTAGAATAACCTTGTTATGTGAAGAATTTGAAAATTGGGAATTTGAGCCTGGACTCCCAGGAAAGGTAGAAAGAAGACAGTGCAGTGCTAGGAAGCAAAATCTACTTAAAACCCACCCATTTGCTAAATAAAACTTACTTTTTAATTCCTGGTATGATATGGGTAAAGTTTTTCCTTTCAAATTCATTCAGGTCTAAATCAAATGTAAGACGAAAAAATTGTCATTGCCAGAAATCCTGCATTTTGGATGGGTTTAAGGAGCATATAATGTGGAAACTATTGCTTCAGGTCTTTTGGTTAGAAAACTCAATAACTGTTTATTCTGCAACATGAATTATATAGTCACAGGTATGCAGCATGAAGGAATCGCTTAGTCTAACACAATAAATGTCTAGAAAAAAAACAAGGAAAGAAAAAGCCAAGGAAAGAAAAAGAAAAGTCCTGTAAAAACATCTGGACATTTCACAATATCAGATATCACATTAAAGAAATATTGAATCTTGTTTTACTACATTTATAGTAGAATCTAGTAAAATGAGTCTATGTTCCAGCACACTTGGCTGTTCTGAATGATAGTGGAGTGACAAGTCAGAAACTCTTGCATTTCAACTCTAGACCGTACCTGAGACTCCATCCTTGAATCAAACACATGCTTCATGGAACCACAAATGTAATGCAAAGACATGGAATTCTTCCAAGCAATCTGAGAAAGGTGGGCTTAGAACAGTAAATAAGGTCCATGGCCCTGGTATATTTTTTCACTAAGCTTTTGAAAAGAGTGAACTTCTACCCGGAAGAGTTCTGAACATATCTAGCATACACTTGGCCAATAAACAGATTACCTTCTAGCTGTGGGTAATTATGCTTCTCACTTCTAAGCAATGCAGAAAATCAATTTTAATTAAAAAATCATTTATGCTAGACTGAGTCATGCCCATTTAGGAAAAAAAAATATATTGACCTAGTTCAGTTCAGATGCAGAATTCACTTTCACAGTAACACCCAGCTCTTTCAACCCAATTTTCCAAACAGATTGACAGAAGGACAAAGAGGTCAGATGATTCAGACGAAGTCAAACTCATACTGAGCTTATCCCCAAAATCATCTTGACTCCTCGTCTTTCTGTATAACAACTTAACAGATGGCTTCTATCAATTTTAGTCTTTAGTATCTTCCTTTTTAGAGCAAGTTGTTAAATTCTGTTTTGTCCTTACCAGTGATGTGACAGATGCTACGGACCTTTGGCAACCAGGTAAAGCAATGATTTGATTCGGTCCTCGTTCAAGACACTATCCCAAACCAGAAAATTATTTTTGCATGGCTTACCTTGAAATATACATGAGTCTTATGAAACTCAATTAGACTTAAGTGAATGCTTATAGCTGGCATGGTATATAAAGATGTCTTGGTTCTGGTCCCCGTGAGTATTCATAAATTGTGGGAATATTATTTTATTGAACTTGAATATGAGAAAGATTGACTACACCTATCTAAAGTGGCTGTGAAGCAAATATTAATTTCATCTCTTGATCTAAGAATACAGTGTCATCATGGATTTTGAAGCATGGGCCACTTTAAAAGATTAAATGTTATTATTTCCAGAACAATTACAAGAATTTAAACTATTAAACTACCATACAGATAACACCAGGGACACTGTTTTGCCTGAAGAAGTTGCTTAATCCCATGCTGCCAATTAGGAAGAACCCTATTTGAATAATTAAGGTAAATATATTAATTTTCAGGGTATAGAACATGTAAGGACCTTCTTAGATTTGGTGCTTGCACAGATGTATGCAGAATATTAAATGTTAAGACACCTTCAGAAAAAGAAAAACTTGGTGTCATCTTCTAAAAAGGTTAGGTGTCTAAAGCTGCTTGCTATGCAGCTACGCGAGGAATACAAGTAGTAAACCATATCCTCACTACTCGGGAATAGTTTGACACTCACGTGGTCAGTTAAAAACCATCATGTTTTGGATTTGGTTTTCAGACTGTTGCAAAACTCTGCAAAACTACCATCTAGCATTTTTCATTACTGTTCTTTTGTGTTAAATATTTATATCGAAAAATGCAATAAAAGGTGCAGAAAGTGCAGCAAGGCTAGTTACCAAGAAGTACACACAAATGTTTGTATATGTATACCCAGTTTAAGGGCAAACTCTTAAAATTAATGTATTTTCAGATGATTTCCAGCTAGATCCCTGCAATATAATTCTTGGAAAATGAAACCCTTTTTTTCCCCAGATTCACTTTTTCAATCACTACTTCTACATCGACAGCCCTTCAAGAGTCCTTTTCTAGCCCATCATCTCACAAAGCTATCGACCAGAAAGAAGTACTGATCCTGGTGGGCAAAGAAAACCCTTTAAATGCCTCTCTAACATGTTTGCAAGAATCTAAACTTTCCCTGGAAGATGACCAAGAACAGGAAAGGCTACATGTACAAACTGGGTCCTGAAAAAGCCCAAATGATGAGCCAAAAAAGAAGATCAGCAAAGACATGAAGAGGGAGGTTAGAGAACATCTGCAGGGAAAGCTGAATGGAGGAGGCAGCAAAAGGCATTCTTAGAAACCCAGAGAGATTTATGTACTGATGCACATAGGGTATACCTGTGCATGTGGGTGTGTGCATGCGGGCTGAGTGAGAAATGGAAAGTGACCTATCTACTGAGGAGAAAAGAAGCGGACAGCTGACAAGAATTGAGATTAAAATCTCCGAGGAAGTCATTGCTTTTCTGGATCTCCTTGTGTTTCTTTCACATGCTTCTCAATTGCAAGTGCACATCTGATGAAATGACTGCTCAAGATAGGTGATGAGTATGCACCAATATTAATGAAGAGAAAAACATCTGTTTTGGCTGAGTGTTAAGTAGATGCTTAGCTGAAGTTTCTAGGAACTTGACATAAATTATTTAAAAGTAGAAGTCAGACTGGAACTATCATGAAAATATCATGAGAATAGTATTTTCTGATCTGTATCCTAGCTTTTCCACTCCCAGTGGAAAGAACAAGTGAAGAAAACATAATGGTGATCAGTACACATACACACACCATATGATCAGCTTTTAGAAACTCACTGGAAGCTTGAGTCAGAGTAATTTTGAGAAAAGAATGCAAACCAGCCATTAGGATTTTGTTGTGTTGGTTTTGTTTGGTTTTGTTTTGTTTTGTTTTAAAACTTCCTACAAGCGAAAGTGATTTGGAAAAGGATTTAAATGTGAGATGAAGTGAGGGAAGGAAAAACTGAATTCTTCTGTGGAATGTTGTTTAAAAAAAAATAAAGAAAATTCTTTACTGCTGCTATTTGAAATAAGCTCTATTTTGGTTAAGATACTAGCACAGAGTTTGGGAGGTTTTATTTTCTGCTGTTGCACAGACCTTGTGACTTTTGGCAAGTCACTTAACCTCTCTGGGGGTTGGTTTCCCAACCATAAATAGAGTTGTTCTCAAGCAGAATTTGCTGCCAATCTCTATTTTAGAACCTGTGAATATGAAATTTTAAATCATTCATGTGTTACTAGAATAGTGATCATGTACATATCTAGAAGAGATACACAGTTTGCTATCTGAACAAATAAGAAAACCATCTGACTCCATGTTTCATATTCAAGAGAAAAGTGATTTAACAGATCAGCGTGAGAATCACTATTTCTTTAAATGTGTTTCTTCAATTATCATTTGCACATGACTCTTAACAAAGCTTAAACACTTACTGTCATAGTCCTGTAGATTTTCAATTGCTGATAACAATCTTGCCCTGTCTTCTGGGTTTGAAACATTTAATTCAATCAGGTGGCTCTCCTGTAGATCCTTTAAGTCTTCTAGAGTTTCGTAGCCATTTAGCAAGAGAGTTGAGGCATATTCCTACAAAAAGAAACAAGCAAGTCCTCCCATGTAAACAAAAACTGTTTAGTAGAGGAATAGGCACAGTTTCTCTTTTACTTTTTTATCAGGTTGGAATGGGCTCCATTCTCCAGTCTGATCGACCTGCCTTTGGCATAAAACCAGAGCTGGAGAGCAAGAGAAGACAGAGATGGAGATGCCTTGGGGTCCTCTTGACCATCCCAGTGTCTGTGTCTGAGTTGTCTAGCAGAGTCTGGCAACAAATTGGACCAGGACAGAGCTCTGCCAGAAATGATTGAATCTGCAAAGTGTCTGGACTTTTGTGGGTCACCCCACAGAGTGCCTCCCATGCTGGGTCCAGGAGGGCCTCTGAGGTGAGATGTGCTCTGCCTTTGCACAGAAGGAGCCCTTCAGTATCAGTGAGAGTGAGAAGCTGAGGGAGCCCACAGGTGTGCTGTGTCACTCATGGTCCCCCTTGAGCTGCATGTTGATGCAGCGTGAAACCCTGCATGCATTCCAAGGAAAGGAGTGTTTGCATCAGCACAAAAGCAATAACTGTTACTAAAAATGTTGCCTGTAAATCATGACCTAATTAGGCTTTGACTCTCAGTCGAGAACTAGGGTTGCAGAGAGGGAGAAAGGCACAACACAAATGTAGTACAAAAGAACCATTCTATGATTCTATGATTCTATTACTCCCTAAGGATCTCAAGAAATCAGAAACACAAATGCTAAATGTTGGCACTGGAGTCAGCCTGTGGTCCTGTCTCTAAGGTGTCCACAGTCACACACCTCCTACCCTTAGGCACACAACTGCAGTCCTGTTACGGTGACTTGACAGGTCACCACCATGCCTCTTTGCGTGGAGTCTCTTAGCCTAACCAAATGATGTGGTAAAATGCAGTTCTATAAGCCACTCATCTCAGATAAAAGACAGACACAAAGCTGCTTTGCTGACATCAGCACTGCTGAAACCTGCCTTTCCACGTCTGCCCGTAAATGACATCCAAACCCGGGTGCACAGAAATGAAATGTTTCAAATACAGCTGGGAAATGCATTGGCTGACCTGCAGGTGGACACAATCCAGGAGCTCTTGCAATGTCTTAGGCTTGGTTCTTTTGCTTCCTCTGCATGGCTTTATTTTTCTGGGTGCAGCTTCCTCTTCCAAGATAATATCCACGTAAATGAACTTGAAGTTTCCTACTTTGTTGTTCAGCATGCCTGTCCATATGCCCATGGGGGTTTTACAGATGATATCTATAATGTCTCCTTTCTAGAACAGTAAAAAAAAGCACACCACTGATTACACATCTGGTTTGATATATATAGCTTTTCCTCTATGGACCAAAACCAGCACAGACAGCATAGAATCTTAACTAGTCAGTGCAAAGTAACTTTTAAAAATTACCTAGATTTAGCCCCTTAGATTTAGGTGGACTCTTACTCATTTTACTGTAAAAAAAACCCACTGGCTGCATTTCTCAAAGGCAATAAAGAACATTTAACTCCCTTAATATCTTCCTGTCAGTCCTTCCCAAAGGACTGTCAAATTTTCCCACTATTATTAACACAATTGACTGAGAAAATAGTGGAAGGTGCCTTTAGCAGACAGATCTGAAGGCTTCAGCTCCCCACACTTGTGCATGCACTCACAAACGTGAATGCAAAAAAGAGTGACAACACTGCAACTTCAAGAGGGCTTTTTGGTAAAGGTGTTCACAGCCACGCTGTGGGAACCAAGGTCTCAGCTCAGCAAAACAGTCACTCTGAGTAATTCTCATAGTGAAAACGCTCCCCTTGTAAGCCACACAACTTGCTCCCGTGACCTCAGAATTGAGTCCTCTCTTCTGGTCAGGTACTTCTAAAAATGTTGAAAGTCTTTGAAGAGTTGTCCAACAAATCTCCAAAAACACACTTCATTTGGCACTCTTAACAAACTTAAAAAGTAGACTCAGTTTGTTAAAATATCTGTTAATAACTCCAAGACTTTCAAAACTTTTTCTGGTCTGGTCAAGAAATTGAAATTAAATAAAGTGGTTACCCTAGTTTTGGTACAAACCAAAGTACGAAATTCACAGTGTTCCAGTGACCTGGTTTTGCTAGAATATGGACCTCAGAGCTATGAGCACGTTTGAAATGGAGACTAAACAAACATTTGTTTAAAGCTCTATAAGCACATATATTATTCTACACACTCACAGAGGCTCAGCAACTTCAGATGTGGATGCAGAACAGGATTAGGCAGTGGCTCTAAGCCAAGCTGCGGATGCACTTTGAATTCAGATTCAGGGTACTGAAATTTTGTGAGATAAATTTAGGGGATTTCAACCCTACATATACATAATTCTCAAATACACCACCCAGGTGACTAAGAAAGGAACCTATGTGAGGCTGCAGACATTTGTTGTTTCATGACCATTTAAATAGGAGGAAATGTCCTAGGTGTGGGTGGAAGTGGAGGGCAGGTGGTGAAGGCTGCAAGTACTGCCAGAGCAATGGCTGTAATATATAGGCAAGAGAGGAGAAGGAGGAGAGTGCAGTGAGATACAGATGAGGATTTTGATAAGAAGAAGAGGCTGTGAAGAAGAAAAGAGGCTGAAGTGTGAATATAATCTGGATATGAAGGTGTTTACAAAGAAGGAAAAGAAAACAGTCCTTGAACAGTCTGAAGGATGATGGTATTGAATGTATCTGTGCATGGAAGGAGAAGAAAAGGGATGGTCTTTTTAGTAACGTTCAACTGGCTCCGTGTCTGGAGCCCCTTTTTCTCACTCACGTAGCCTAGACACTCCTGCCGAGTTGTCAGGGCCAGAGAAAATTAATGGTTCAAAGGTATGCTTAAAGAAAAACCTAATGGAAAGGCAAACTGTTTTCATTAAAGACAATGGCTGCTACTGAGCTTTTGATGTATCCTAGTTGTGACTGAAAAAGTGGGGAAGGCAACTTCACATCCCATGGGACTCAAGTGTTTCTTACTCCAGACCTAGTAATTGGGAAGCAACATACATGTTACTCTGAGGAAAGCTGTGGTATCCAGGTAGACACAACAATGAGGTACCTTCCTGGAATCGATGCCTTAAAAAGCCTTTAGCAGCTTTGCAGCATTGTCTGAATTAAGTCCTTATAGAAACATTGCAAAATCAGACTGGTTTTAAAGTGTTACACATGCTTAACAGCTAAAATGCATTAGTTAACATATTCTTCACATGTAAGAAATGGCCCCTGGCATTCCTACTGGAAAAAAAAAAAATCCTGGTGGTTGTCTTACCTTGATTTTCAGAGAGTCAGTATCATAAGGACTTGGTGTGAAGTCAGTGTGAACTTTTGCTCGACCGCAGAAGGGCCCACTGTAAGGGACTTCGTCATCAAACCGAAGGCTGTCCCTGTTGCTCGTTCCATCTGAGCAGCTGGTCACTCCACCTTAAAGAGATTCAAGTTGAGAAATCTCCTGCACCAAGTGCCCAGATATGCAATTCTGCACAGCAGACAAAAGTGTTCAAAAGCACAGAATTAAAGAAAGAGTTTTTTTTTGTGGTTTTGACACATTCCAGGAAAAACACATTCAATAAAAAGCATACTACAAGAGACTGAAGAAAATAGGTAGGGGATCTTTCATTAACATCTTCCCTACAGTAATCTTTTTCTGGTCATGGTACTAATAGACTACACATTTTACTTACAGACTTTTTGAAATATTACCTCTACAGATTAATAAAGTGTACTCTAAAAGTGCAATTTAGGGAAATAATTCTGCTGAACTTCTGTTTATTCAGAGAAATGAAAACAAGTACTGTAGAAGTTATTTTATTTCATTACAGAGCTAGCTGAAACATCAAAGGAACCTGCATTGCAGAGGGAAATTTTAATCTTATGAACATTTCAGTCTGTCATTTTATCCAAGTATAGCAGTAAAGTATCGGCAGAGTAATTCAAGCAAATTTGAGCAAGCTCTGCAATATCCCATCCAAATATGTTTTTAGATAAGAGCAGCAGTGTGTTGGAAGTAAATTCCCATATACTATTTTCACAAATCACATCACAGAAAATGGTCATAAAGATGGTTTTGTCTGAGGTGATTGCTTAAGTGCACAGCTTCGTCTCAGGGCCAGATTAACTACTAAGTGCAAATGGTCTGGAGTCTCCACTTAGGGCTCACGTGGTGCCAGCAGTGACAGCACAGCAACGTCATCATGGACAGCTGCAGCTCGCTTCACAGCAAATGTCCACAGCACAGCAACGTACAGAGAGGTGGAGGCAAACACCACCTCTCATCAGAGATTCACCAGCTCTCCAACTGAGACTACCCTGTTGGGGAAATTTTCAGTGGGTTTGCAGAGAAGCAGACTATGTCTCTCTGCATTGTGACCTGAAGCTGTCAGGTCAGGCCCCCATCACCCATTATCCCAGAGAGACCTCTCACTTTGTCTGCCTCACATCTGCAGGGCAAAGGATGAACTCATGACCACTAGCCCCAGAGAGGATGCTTGTATGGCAGCACTCAGTAATTGAAACCCTCTGGGTGTCAGCATCGTAGCAGTGATAACCCCCCAAAACATTTATGGCATATATACCAGCAACATCCCCTATAATCAATGTTATTTTTTTACTTCATTTAATATTTTCACTCCTAAAAACACTCATCTTTTTTTTTTTTTTTTTTTTTTTTTTGGAGAGAGGTGTATCTGCCCTGGCTGCCACCCGTTTAATCAAATTACACTTTTGTCTGCCAGACTGAACAGCTCTTTAGTATCACATTTTTGATCACCAGCTCTGATACCTCGGACTTAAACAATAACAATATTGATCCAGTGACTGAATAAGAAGTATGGATGTCTTGTACTTACTAGATGAGCTCTGGCCACTGTTAAGACTGTAGAGACTTTCCATAGAGTCACTGGCTTTTAGGGAGACCTTCTCTGTGTGTATTCCACCACCAGGATCACTGTCATCTTTTCCTTCTTCATTCTTTAACACAAAAGTCAGATGTTAACCACCAAGAGATGTATTTTAGACAAACATTTGTTTGTTTACTTTTAAATCATCACTGGAGATTAACTCATCATTACACTGTATTAAGAACCACTCTATGAGAGAAGGCATTTTAGAAGTTGATGCCTGGTACTAAGGATGCCCAGCACCATCCCCAGCACCTTATGATCCTGGAGAAATTCCCTGTCTCCTCTCTGCCCCACTCATTTCATTCCATTCCCACTTGAGCAGCTAAACCGATTTTCCATCTCAGGAGACTGAAAGATACCACAGCAGTGACAAAGGCTTGTGAGGGGAAATTTGCAGGTAGCCAGATAAGGTGTTTTTTATGATTGTCTCAGAGGAGGAAACATAAGATTTAATTCTGAAAGCATGTGGTGAAGTACTAGCTGACACAGCTGTGTTTTGCGTTAAACTTCTGAAAATCATGGGCGCTTGGCAGGAGGCTGCCACCCCAGCCAGAGCATTCAGGAGACAGGTTGCACACATGTACAGCATCAGCATGTTCTAGCACCATGCTCACCACATTGCCCGACCTACACCTTGGCCTCAAAATCCAGTGCATTTCAGAATTAACAGATGCATGTTTCCCTCACAAAATTTAATGGTGTATGAAATTGGCCCCTTGAGTTCATAGCATTAAATCACATCTCAGGAATCACAGTCTATTCAAAACAATAAGATCCATATTTCAGTCATGGGTAAATTAGGGATGATGTAACAGCTAAATGAAATAATGATGAGCTTTCAAAGGACAGAATTTCTTCAGCAGATTTCATCACATTGTCAATGTGCATGATGCCCTGATGCAACTGAAACATCCTGCAGTACTTATGACATTATATTTGGGGAAATACAAATTATTCATCAGTTGGCTGATGAAGTCAAGCAAAGATGACAGTGCATGTATGAAGTAGAGACCCATACAGATACACATATAAGGCATAGCCTTGAAATGAAAGACTCTGTTGGTTTTCAACAGGGACAATGCTTGTTACACCATCCAGCAGCATAATCCATAGCTTAATCAGCGGGCCAGTACTGATTGTCATAATCTCCTGCAGGTGTGAAGATCATGCTACATGTGTGTGCAACTGGATAATTAATTGAATTTCTGTCATGTGAATCATTGCTCTAAATGTGCAGAAGGTAAATGTTGAAATTCTGATTTTTCTTTCTGACAATATAAAAATTATGGATTGCAACCTCTCAAATTTTAGCAAAAAAAAAAAAAAAAAAAAAAAGCAAACTAAATTAATAAAATAGGAATCCTTGTCTTTGACCTCCAAGAACTGTCCAAAGGTATCCTGTGAAATGCTGTTTTCTACTTGTGAAGTTTTCCCTTACTTATTAGATATTGACACATGTGTGAGATAGGAAGCCGACTAGCTAGATTTTTGAGGGTGATTAAGTATGACAAGTCCTTTTTCCTTATGTTTTTTAAAATTTGGAACTCACACAACATATTCAGAAAACAGTGTTTGCAGTGTGTGAAACATTATGTTTTTTACATTTAAAAATGATAGGTTCACTAAGATTAGATAAAGTAAAAGCAGATAAGGCATATGAATTGTCATGCTCTAGGATGCTGGCTGACCTTTACAAAATGGACTTTGGAAATAAATATTGTATTGAAAGATAAATTCTTTTAATGAAGCATTTTGTACAGGTTGAGTATCAGACTGCTGATGGGGTTCATCCGACACTCCCTTGTGTCCATGTCAGGAGATTTTTTTGTGATGCTCATACAAATGCTCCTTGATGACAAAGCAAAATTCAATAATGTAAAACTCCTATGTCTATCTTGGACCCTTACTGTGTGATGCTTTAATTGTATATGTGCATGTGTGTGTACATTAACATGCACATGAAAGAAAGGATACCTACTAAAAGCTGGTTTAATTTAGTGTATGTTACCATGTTTTTATGGATTGTCATAACATGAAAATTGAAACATGAACAGGAAAAATACACATAACATTTTTACTTCACATGTATTATCATCAAACCCTTGTACATGAGATTCTTAAGCTGTATTTACCATCTCCTCAGAGAGTGCCTTGATGTACTTTTTACCCATCTTTTTCTTCATGGTAAGGGAAATGGCTCTCATCTTCTTACCCAAACTTCCTCCGTTATTTGCTGCTTTAGTTTGTACTGCATCTCCAATGTCACTTATAGTCTCCAACTCAGATAACTGATTAAAAATAAAAAAGTAAGAAACAACTCACCATGAAAATGAAATTCAGTGTAGTGGAATAGGAATTACAAAAAGATATTAAGGACACCAATGCAGCTAGGAATATAAAAGTCAGTCACAGCCATTTTCCTGGGGAATCATGTACCTAAACAGGTTTGCAGCACACCATTTTATGTGTGAATGACAGAAAGAAAATCTATTATATGATAGGAAATGTTGTTTCCCATTGTTAATTGTCCTTAATAAGAATTAAGGGGATTTTTGCAGGTTCTTGAAAATGAAAACAACACATCTGTGGGTTGCATACATGTGCTGGTTACTTTGGGCATGCACCAACCTCAAATGCACTTTTATCTTTTTGAAAAAATGATTCTAATCTTCCCATCACAGTTCCAAAGTTTAGGTGTGATTTTCTTGTTCATTTTGGCAAGGGCTCAGTCACCCAGACAGATCCAGGTACACAAGCAAAATTCTCACCAGTGTAAAATTTGCACAATAGTTTCCCAATGTTTTTGCATAACTGTCTTGGGAAAGTGAACTGAAGAAAGTAAAACTCTGTGTTATACAGACCTCAGCTGAATCATCTGTCTTTGATATTGAATGATGCCTGAAACGGTCAAAGCTTCCAAAGCTGCTTGTGCGCTGTAAAAAAAAAAAGAGAAGACAAACCTTGACTCAGTAATGGTGGTTTGTTCTGTTATTAAGACTTAAATACAACTGTCAAGTCACCTGTTTTTGTTAAAAATTCCTCCCAGATCAGTGGACCGTGAGCTGCTCCATCCAGCTAGAAACAAACTAGGAGGTGACTATAAGGGAGAAAAAATGTGACCACAGAGCCAGAAGCAGAAAAATTAAGAGAACCAATATTGCCTCAAATACTAACTACATAATGGATATGATTGAGTTCTTCTACATCAGTTTCACATTAATTATGCACAGATATCTATGAACTACCTCTAGGTAAGATTGCTGTCCATGAGCTTAGGAAAAAAGGTGTTCCCATAAATATTATATGAGCTATAGAGTTGGTTATGGTGGTGTCAACTGTGGCAATTTATACAGTTTACTTTCGCAGCTGGGGAGACCGTTTATGGTTCTTTACCAACAGGAATCAGTAAGGGCTGCCGAAGATTATGAACACATTTTTTTCTGAAGTGCACGCCTTGCAGAGGGAGTAAGTAACAAAATAATCAGGCGGGCCTCGTGTTTTTTTTCCCCGATCTCCCAATTTGAAAACATGATTTTTAAATGTACATGGGTACAATTTTTCCCTGTGCCACAGCATATAACAAGGGCTGCCTCACCTGAGCTGTGCATTAAGAGACCGTGAATAGATTGCTGTTGCTTCCTTCTAGTTTTCACCCTTTCTGTGTGTGGATAATTGACATGGTAAGTCAAGAAGAGGCAAAGCAGATTTTTGCAACAGACATCACACAGAAATACCTGCCAGACATGCCCAGGCAAAATTGCCTGACACTGCGCTTCCCATGGTAGCAAACTGCACAAAATTTGCATTGTCGACAAGTCAGAAGTCCCGTTAAGTGTGACTCTAGTAACATCCAGAATTTGGACATTTATCAACTCTACAGTGTGTTTAAGAGCTGTTTTTTATATCTTCACCACTACTCAAAGCTAAATCCAAAACAACTTTTTTTTTTTTAATTCTTCACTCTTCCATACTAAAGGAAAGTCTTTTAATGCAGTATCCGGTTTCTTGAAGCAGGGTTTATTGCTATATACTATGCAATATCATCTCAGTATATTTCTGAGTATTCAGAATCCCCTCTGGAGGTAAAAAACACTGAACTATGTAGCAAACCACAAAATAAGTACATCCTGTATGATTTAATAAGTGATTTAAGACTACCTGGTTACAGGTTTTCCTGTATTCATCCATTTACCTTGCACACACAATTTCAGCCAAACCAGTTCCTTGCTCCATTGCTCGTCCTCAAGCCACATGAGCCACCTTTTCATCTCCCCCTACATTTCTAAAGCACCCATCATGCCCCCTTCCCCTGGCATCTCCAGCTGCCTCCTTTTGCTCTCCATTTGTGGATGCCACAAGCCTCAAAAGGGCCCGCGAGTTCCCAGCCAGTGCAGTTTTCCAGTCTTCTCTGCCAGGCCAGAGTTTTCTCGAGGCAGCCTCAGAGGCAACGGAGGCAGACCATCCTTTGGGCAACAACAGAGGAGGAGAAAAGGACTGGTTTAATAGCTGGTCCTATTGCTTGCCTCTGCATTGCAGACATGCTTCACGCCGTCATCAACCTGCTTCCAGGGAAGCTGAGGAGAAATCTCTCCGCATGGCAGGAAGAGGAGCAGAACTGCCCAAACACCGAGCGCTGCAGGGAATGCTGCCCCTGCTGCGCCCATCCTCCAGTTCCCTGCCCACGAGAGGGAGTGCCATCCTCTGGAAAGCTAGAAAACTAAAGACCTGTTTGAGCCGAGACCTGCGTAACAATTTCAGCTACTGACAAGTTTCTGAGGGTGCTTACAGCCCCGCACCTGTTCTGCCCACAGCTACCAGGCTGCTCTTTGCTGCTCTGTCTCCTTGTGCTCTCCTTTCCTGGCAGCAGACAGTCCTCTGCGGGACTCCTCAGTGACAGTGTCAGGCTCTTGATGCCACACAAAGTGGCGAGGTGGCATTCAGGCTTTGCAACCACGGTCTTAGGGAAGGAGTTCATCAAAAGGATGCCAACTACATGAAGCACACACATACCTCCCCTGGGTGTTTCCATCCAGGAAGGACCCCATCTTATTCTGTCCCTGCTCATAAATCACAGGGCTACTGTCCGTATTAGCTCCTTTATCTCTTACATGCAGTCACTTTTAAACTAAAAATAGTTTGCAGAGGGAAAAAAAAAAATATTACAAAGAAAGCTACGGGAAACCATGTGAAAATACTTTGTCTTAAAGTCTCCATTTGAGAAGAAGAAAATCAGCATCCCCTCGAACACAACTGAAAGTAAAAGCTCTTTGCTCTTTCATTTCCCTGTTTTTCCATGCTTATTTATTAATCAGCTCCTTCCCCCTCCAAAAAAGAATTAATGGCCATAAATGGGAGAGGCCTGAGCACAGCCAAATAGGAGAGGAAATAATACCAGCATTTTGGGTCCATGTTCTAACTACTGCAGCTTAAGAGAAAAAGAAATATAATTTTTTTTCATTAACATTTCTGGGCACATCTAACCTGAAAAACATTTCCAGCCAAAGGTTACTTGAAGAAGCTGACCCAGATTTATGAATATTTTTGGACAAGTAAAATGGCATTTACTATTCACTGAGGGGGAAAAAAAAAAAAGAAAAGAAAAAAAATCACACAGCTCTCCTCTTAATTGATTGTAATCTCTCGGAAAAGTCTCTGTTGGCTAAACATTGTGGTTTATTTGGGTTTTTTTTCACCCTGTGAAATTTAAAAGGACAATTTGGATTGTACAGTTTAATTTTATCTAAAATTCCCATAAAGAACTTTGCTATTAAGTAGATGAACAATATCCTGTGACAAGGGGTTAGCTCAATAGTATGATATAAAAACACAGCCCCAAGGATTATGGTTCTATTAGACAGGATTAACACCTTTCACTGGCTTGTCAACCCAGCCAAATGTGCCCTGCAGCATGGAGCAGGAGGGAGAGAAAGAGGGAGGCTGGGATTCACGGCAATATTGGGAAAGTATAAAATGGTCTCACACAGTGATCTCTAAACATACACTGACCTTTCTGTTGCATTCAATCACTTCAAGATGTCTAGTAGGAATAACTGTATATTAAAGTGCAGATGTGCTGCAGATACTTTAAAAGGAACAAGAGGAAAAACATTGTTTATTGTTGGTCTTGCCTATAAACAGCTTGAGCACAGGGAAATCAGTTATTCTTTTTTGACCCTTGAAACAACCTTATATCCTGCATGTGCAGAAGCCTTGGGCTATTTTGTAGTGTACTTCAATGTTGCTTCATCCCTCTTAAATATTAATAAGGGTCACAGGATGATTTCCACTATTCTAGATAATGGTCTTGTTGCACTGGAGAGCACTAAATAGGGCTGTTTCAGCAATTCTCTATACTAACTTTTTCCATTAAGTAATCAATAGCTACCACCTTTTAAAAATGTATTCAACCCCATTAAACTGATAACAAAAAGCAGATTTAGGAGCTATGGGCTGCAGGAGGAACAGGACCATTACTTTCAGTAGTGTCAGTCACTGCGTTAGCATCAGGGAACACCTACTTTGTGAAGATACGGACAGGCCTTATTTCCAGGTGAAGGGAAGCTTTTAAAGTAAATGCAGAGCAACTAGGAGGAAAAATGCTATTGACTTTTGATACCAGGATTCAGCATCCTATAAACTTAAGTGATTTTTCTGGCTGGATTCATGCAAGAGCTACCAATGGATATGTTAAGCAAATACGAATTTGCTCAGTAAAATCTAATGGAGGCATGGACAGGAGAGAAACACTTTTATTTTCCCACACAAGGACTGATCAAATAATTTCCACAAATCAATGCATTAACTTTTATCCCTTCCCCTTCAGTATACCAAATTAGCATAATAGACAATATAAAAGCTATTTTTCAGTATTTTAAATCCTTCTTCCATCTTTTCCTATATCTTCAGTTCTCTGAAATCAAGGAACTTTAAATAGTCATTTTAAAGGGGTAAGTGCTATGTAGTTGCTGTTTATTTTAATTTGGACAGTCTGCAGTTGGTGATTTGGTTTGTCTGTAAATAGCCTATCATTTTCCCCAGAAAATGGTATGGTATACAAATAGAAAAACAACAAGAAAAGCTTCTGCAGTCAGTGTCTTTCTGTTATAAAACATCCTTCCCTTGTAGAGCGTATTGTGGGAGAAGTCAGGTAGTTCTTATGATAAACTAGTCAGAGCTTCTCTGTGTCTAAAGACAACCTTTGAGCCAAAACTGGCAGCAGTTATCCTGCTAAATAATCATTATGGGTGATATTCATTTCATATTTTCCTGTGGGCAGTTTGCAGTGCTCAGCGATCTGGTTCCCTGCTGTGAGAAATTCTGGCCCATTATGTTTTTGCTTCAAGTCCTATTCAAAATAGCTTTTAAGTCCAGCATGATGCAATGGCTTTGTAGTGACCCTCTCACACAAGTAAATATCTTCAAGTTCCTCTGTGCATTTTCATTTTTAGCTTCCATTCATCCTCAGACTACCCAGACCATGTAAGCTGTATAGGGGCAAATGCGGTCACTGAGAGTAACAACAAGGGAGCTCAGCATGTTGCCCAATTTCCTTGCCTGCCACAGACACTTGTATTCTTCCCTCTCTGCTTGGAAGAAACTGCAGCAGCTCCAAAGATTCTGTGCTGGCTGCTTTGGTCGATGGGGATAAGCAGAGCTCAGGATATGATTCAATTCATTTAATCTGTTCTCTGATGCTCCTAGTCCCTCAAGAATAAGGACACTACTCTGGGAATGAAATTTAAGAGTTACCAAAGTAGGAACGACTATTGCCACTCTGCTAGCTTTTCTTACTGTGTGCATAGATAATCAAAGAAATGGTCTCCTAGTTTTCCAGAAGGCAAGATAGCAAAATTTAGCTTTTGAGAGACTGTATAAAAAAACAACAACAACAAAAACTCCTCACTTCTGTATAAAGAATGAGAATTTGCATACA